AATGATGGATCTGGACCAAACTTGGCACGAATACTACTGAAATGTGAACACTGGTGGAGTTTGGGGAAAATAGACCTTGACATTTGGGAGTTGTAGTTAAGTTACTGGGATTTATAGTTCACCTACAATCAAAGAGCATTATGAAACTATCCAATGATAGGACTGGGCCAAACTTCCCACACAGAACCCTTATGTCTAGAAGGGACTTGCTGGCATGAACCTCCCTCCAACCTCATACTCTCTCTTGCCAGCACATGCACACCACACTGCCATGCACCAAGTACACCTGCGCTCCCCTCCCAGCTTGGAGTCTCAAAAACAGCCCTCCTCTTGGCTGAGTGGCCGGCCAATCACAGCAGAGGAGGGCTTTTGGCGGGAGGATTCACCATCTGTTTCCAAAAAGGAAAAGTAGGACAGGTGAAGAGATCTTCAGCCTTCTCTGCCAAAGGGGTTGATAAAACCATCAGAAATATGTTTTCTGGTGGTTTTTAGCAACCCCTCTGAAACCCCCTCACAACCCCCCTCCAGGGGTCCCGACCCCCAGGTTGAGAAATGTTGCACTAGAGAGTAAAGCAGTGATTCAGAATTGCCCTTTTGATTGTTTCACCTTCACTCATTTCGGAGCAAGGGCTGGAAAAGTCTGGAGAAGCCCTTCTTTCTGTCCAACCACTTTCTCAGGTTCAGTTGGTGGGAATAAGAGAGGGGACCTTGCCAGTAGCTGCTCCCTGGTACTTGAATTACTTCCCCAGAGATGCCAGAATAACTCCATCTTTGTTCTCCTTCCAGTGGCATGTCAAAAAATCTTCAGCACATCCCGTTTCAGTACATAATATAAATTTGCATCAGTTTTCAAGCACATTGCTTTTGTGGTTCCTTATCTCTTGTGAAACAGCATGCTCTATGGTTTACAACAGGTACTTAATGTTATTAGTCTCTTTCTAAGGATAAACCATATCCTTCATGTTTCAAAGGGCATTTTTCAATTGTTTTGCCGTAAATAAATCATGTAAAGATCAAGTTATCCCCAAACTAGCCATCAATCAAGTAACAGCGACCATCACTGAATTCTGATACGGCAGCTGTAGCAAAAAAAGGGGTATTTTATTATCAATCCAAAAAAGGTCATTTGTTACCAGCCAGTTTTGTTTAACCACCCAATGAAAGAGAGTTAATGAAATAGAATCATTTTTAAAGGAGGTAAGCGCCATTACTTCTCTTTGAGATATAATAACCCTTGATGACATGTAATGAAGCAGTTCTCCCACCTGGCCAGTTCAGCACCCTTATATCTGGAGAAAGGCAGGATGAAAACAAAAGTAAATAAAAACAAAAATAAATAGCCCAGCCAACAGAGAGTTATCACCATCTTTGCCTAGAAAGTGTCTACAGCGCCTTAATTGGCAGTGTAGCCACAAAACGTTAAAATGCACAGGGAAATAAATGAGACAAACACATATGTTTAAAAAACCCAAAACAGAGAAATGTTAAGGGTTTATGATATTTTACCTTACTGCTAAATTTGAGACTGGAGTGTGCAGTCTAGGAGGAATGGGGACATCTGATATGGGGCACATTTTAAAAATATATTATACATTATGTTCTTGTTGCATCAATAAAAATTATCTAGCCTCAGTCCTCATCAAGTTATCCCACCAAGTTATTTTCCCCACATATAGCAACTATGCACTGACACATTGGTTTATAGCCAGATGTCACTACAACATAGGAGTGGTTCTTATTTTTAACTTAACTTTAATTTTAACTTAATTTTAAAATAAAGTTAATTTTTTAAAAAATTAATTAGGAGCCGCAGGGATGCAATGAATCAAACCCTTGTGCTGGCTGAACTGCTGACTTGAAGGTCAGCGGTTCAAATCCACAAGATGGGGTGAGCTCCTGTCTGTCTGCTCCAGCTTCCCATGTGGGGACATGAGAAAAGCCTCCCACAGGATAGTAAAACATCTGGGCCTCTCCTGGGTAACATCCCTGCAGATGGTCAATTTTCTCACACCAGAAGCAACCTGCAGTTTTCCAAGTCACTTCTGACACAATAAAAATAATAATTTTAACTTAATTTTATTTTTTGCTCCATAGCTTTAAAGGTGACTTTCACCATCCATTAGCAGACCAAAAGAGTGCTCGAAGAAAGAATGTCTTGGCTCAATTTGGCCAGGTGACAGTGGTACCACTTTGGAGGTGTTTTTAGACAGAAGGAAGGCAAATCCATGGCTTCCAGCCAGAGAGAAGTGTTTTTATGGAGAGTCAAGGGTCTAGCCCCAAACCATCCCTGAGGAAAGCAGGGCGGTGAAGGAGGAACTGGGCAAGCCGGCTGAAGGCAACCAAGCTCAGGGTCTGCTAGATGAGGGGCTGAAGGGAAGACATGTTTTTAAAAAACTAGAAGCTTCTCTCTGTGAGAAGCAAGATGAAGCCTGGTTTTGGAAGAGAAACTACCTCAAGGGCTGTGGCAGAGTCAAAGAAAACGGATTGGTTTAGAGTGGCTATGGATGAATACAAAAGACTCTCACTTAACCAGCACCCATGGGGGTTGGTAGATAACAGATAAATGTAGTTGTCGAAGGCTTCCATGGCTGGAATCCCTGGGTTGTTGTAGGTTTTTTCGGGCTATATGGCCACACAACTTCACAACCTCTGAGGATACTTGCCATAGATGCAGGTGAAACGTCAGGAGAGAATGCCTCTAGAACATGGCCATATAGCTCGAAAAAACCTACAACAACCCAGTAATACCTAGTTGGTTGAGAGAAACTATTAAAAATAGGCCAAATACCATGTCCCATACTATAACACACCATAAACTCTGTAGTGACTTGATATTAAGATTGAAATATAGTAACTAAAACCATGTAAAGACAAACAAGGACAAACTTTACTTAATGTAACACCATTTTACCATTTTACTGTATTATAAGAACAGCTGGGGCCAAAAGGGGGCGCTAGGCAGAGAAGGAAAGTCCATTTTATGGGGGGGGGGTTGAAGGAGGAAAACAATTTCCCCCATTTTTGCTGGTTATTCTCCCTCCACCCTTCCCATTTCATAAATGGGCAGCAATATGGGTGGGGGGAAGAACAGGAAAACAGGGGGAAATGGTTTTCCTCCTTAACCCCCCTCCTCCCCAAAACAGACTCTCCTTCTCTGTCTAGCGCCCCCTTTTGGCCTCCGCATGGATCATGGAAGAGTATCAAACAGCTTGTTGATGTAAAGTATTGTTTCTTTGATTGTTTCTTTTATTGGTTGCCTGTGTTCTGGTTAAATAGTGTTCTGGATAAGTGTAAGTCTGTTATTCTGGGACCAATGTCTGGTGCCGGAATAAACTTTCACTTCTGGTTCATCTTCATCAAGATTCAGTAGACTGAACATATTGTAAAGAAGAAGAAATTTCTGGCTTGGCTTCACACATTTTAGTGCAAAGAGGATTTAATTTCCCATGTTGTTGAGCTGAGAGCGAGGAGCATGTCCTTGGAGCATGTCCTTGGGTTCTCTGCTGACATTAAGGGTATCCCAATAAAGGATTCCCCAACAAAGGTGATGCAGACATTTGATCTGGATCAGGATCTTGATCTTTTGTTAACAGCTGGACTGTTTTAACTTTTGTTGTCCAGTGGGTTGTATGCTGCATGTGTATGTGTTAAATGTGTTTGTCAAGTGCCCTAGTTCATGAGCTACAACTTGCACTATCCTATTCCCTTGTTACTGATCCCCCCCCCCATCAGAAGCGACTTGAGAAACTGCAAGTCGCTTCTGGTGTGAGAGAATTGGCCATCTGGAAGGGCATTGCCCAGGGGATGCCCAGATATTTTGATGTTTTACCATCCTTGTGGGAGGCTTCTCTCATGTCCCCACTTGGGGAACTGGAGCTGACAGAGGGAATTCATCCGCACTCTCCCCGGATTCGAACCTCTGACCTGTTGGTCTTCAGTCCTGCCGCACAAGGGTTTAACCCACTGCACCACCAGGTTATAAACCATAGGTTATTGGGTGCTATTTTGAATTTAAATCATTGTTTTATATGCTAGTGGGTTTATTTTGTATTGTATTTTTATTGCAATGGTATCCTTCTAAAACATACAAATAAACTTGCTTTATATACTTACTTTATATCTTGTATTGTATTGTGTGTTTATTTTATGCATTGCTCTAGGCATATTGTGCCCTATGTAAGCTGTCCTGAATTCCTTTAGGGAGATGGAAGGAAGGTACAAAAATAGAATCATAGAATCGTAGATTTGGAAGAGACCTCATGGGCCATCCAGTCCAACCCCCTGTCAAGAAGCAGGAAAATTGCATTCAAATCACCCCTCACAGATGGCCATCCAGCCTCTGTTTAAAAGCTTCCACCACACTCCGGGGCAGAGAGTTCCACGGCTGAACAGCTCTCACAGTCAGGAAGTTCTTCCTAATGTTCAGATGGAATCTCCTTTCTTGTAGTTTGAAGCCATTGTTCTAGTCCTAGTCTCTAGTCTAGTCTCTAGTTCTAGTTCTAGTCTCCAGGGCAGAAAAAAACAAGCTTGCTCCCTCCTCCCTATGACTTCCTCTCACGTATTTACATGGCTATAATGTCTCCTCTCAACCTTCTCTTCTTCAGGCTAAACATGCCCAGCTCTTTAAGCCACTCCTCATAGGGCTTGTTTTCTTGATCATTTTAGTCGCTCTCCTCTGGACACATTCCAGCTTGTCAATATCTCCCTTCAATTGTGGTGCCCAGAACTGGACACAATATTCCAGATGTGGTCTGACCAAGGCAGAATAGAGAGGTTGCATGACCTCCCTGGATCTAGTTATTGTCATTGTCGTCGTCGTCGTTGTTATTATTATTATTATTATTATTATTATTATTATTATTATTATTATTATTAGTGTTTTGAGAGGGCCCATGGGCTAATCAATAAATGAGAGACAGGAGCCCATAGGTTGGGGCTGCAGGGACAGCATGGAAAGCAGACCCTTCCTTGTCTTGCTAAGCCATTGAGGAAGAGAAGGAGAATAGGGTGCTTTTCCAGCCGGGAAGGGATGGGAAGCGGCCCCAGGAGGAGTGCCTTTGTCCTTCCCGCACAAAGCCGCCCCTCTTTGTCTTCCCCCCTTGCCTCCCAAGGCCTGGCGGGGCGGAAGAGCATCCCAATGGGGCGCCTGAGCGAGGAGGAGAAGGAGAATTAGAAGAAGAAGGGGGCCTGGCTGGGAGGAGGGAAGGCGCCCGCCTTTCCCCAGGCAAGGAAAGGAAAGCCTTGGCGCCGCTTAATCCGCGCGGCGCTTGAGCGGAGCAGCTCCGGGAGAGGAAGCCGCCCGGGCCGCCCTTTTCCTGCGCGCCAGAAAGAGCTTCTCGCTCGCTTCGGAGGAAAGGGCCAAGCAGGTAGGGAAAGAGCGAGCAGGCCGGCCCGCCTTTCGAAGCCCCCCGGGAGGAGGGGAGGAGGGAGGCGGAGAGGAGGATCACCCCAGAAAGGGAAACATGCGGCCCTTTCATTCACTGCGTTGTGCCAGTGAGACTCAGGCCTGAGGACATAATGGGAGGAAGGATGCAGGTGTTGCTCTGAGCTGGAACATTAGAGCAAGAGGCTGAGTGGGCCAGGTCACCAAGTCAGCCACGAGGGGGCTTGCTGGGTTTTGTATTTCTTCCTCTCCTCCTCCTCCTCCTCTTCCCCTTCTCCTGCTTCTTCCTCTTACTCCCCCTTTTCCCTCTTTCTCCTTCTTCTTTTTGCTCCTTTTCTTCCTCCTCCTCCTCTTCTTCCCTCTATCCTTCTTCTCCTTCAATTTTTTTAAAATGTATAATCCAGAGATGGCAAATTGGTAATAGTATGATAGATGGGTCCAGAAGCTCCGAGCATCGCCCCTTCCGAGCAAGAGAGGCCTAGCTAATATAAGCCAGGCCAGAGACAGACAATATAGAAGGATTGTAAGAGTTCTTTAATGGTGAAAACCTAACCCTAACCCTGAACCATACAGTAAGCCTAACCCCTTACCCTAACCCTAAACCGTACCCTAACCATAACCCCTAACCCAAACCCTAAACCTTTCCCTAACCCTTACCCTAAGCGTCCCCTCCTTTCTATCCTTCTTTAGCTCTCCTCACTCTCTCCCCACCCCCCCTTCCCTGATTCATAGCCACCTTTGCGTCAACTACCTTAAGCTCGGAGCTTCCGGACCTAGCTAACATACTATTATTGGCAAATTTTGCCCTCCAGGTATTTTGGACTTCAACTGCCACATGGCTGTTAGGAATTGTGGGAATTGGAAGTCCAAAACACCCAAAGGGCTGAAGTTTCCCCAGGCCTAATATCATCTATATCTACAGCAATCCCTTAGTATCCTCTAGGGCAGACATGTCACTTTGGTGACACACTTTTGAGACATACATCATTTTGCAACACAGTTGTTCACTTTAACTAGGAAACCAGACTTTAGACCAACCCCATTATAAGAGGTATGGTAATAAAAGGTAAGGAGGTCTCATGGAAACTTTTCGTGTGTGTGTGTGTGTGTGTGTGTGTGTATGTGTATGTGTATGTGTGTACATACATACATACAGTAGAGTCTCCCTTATCTAACCTTCGCTCATCCAACTTTCTGTATTATCCAACAATGTATTGAAATACATTGCAATGTTTTGGTGATAAATTTGTAAATAGAGTAATTACTACATAACACTATTTTGTATTGAACTGCTTTTTCTGTTGATTTGTTGTAAAACATGATGTTTTGGTGCTCAATTTGTAAAATCGTGATGTAATTTGCCATTTAATAGGCATTTCCTTAATCCCTCCTTATTAGCCAACATTTTTGCTTATTCAACATTCTGTCTGCCCGTTTATGTTGGATAAGCAAGACTCTACTATGTGTGTGTGTGTAATGGTTTATTGCTTATTTCACATAGATGCAGAGGTTTCTCACTCCATTCATATGACACATTGTAGCTGGCACAGTAACATGTCAGGACATACTGCTGGGGAATCAGAGAACCATAGAATACTAGAATTGGAAGAGACCACATGGGACATCTAGTTCAACCCCCTGCCATGCAGGAAAACCACAATCAAAGTATCCCTGACAGATAATACACTTTATTTATCTTCCGCTTTATCTCCCCAGAGGAACTCAGAGCGGATTATAATACACTTATGAGGGAAACATTAAATGTCTTTTACACACAGTCATACAACACAGACAAAGGTAATGGCCTTCCCCTTTTTCCATCTCTGGCATCTGGAGGCGATGCTCAACTGCAGTCATGGGGAGGTGCTCTTGTTCCATTTTTCCATGTCAGGGAGCCTATTGTCCATAGACATCTCCAATTGTATTGCCAGAATGTCTGCATATCTGCATGGGGCACCCTTTTACTTTCCCGTTGAGGCAGTACTTATTGATCTACTCATATTGCATGCTGTCAAACTGCTTGGTTGGCAGAAACTAGATCTGACAGTCGGGAGCTCACCCTGACTCGCAGCTTTGAACTGCCAACCTTCTGGTGAGCAGCTTTCCTGCAGCTAGTAGTGTAACCAGCTCTGTTTAATTCAGCCTCTGTTTAACCATTTCCAAGGAAGCTCTGGTCTACTGTTTGTTGCCAGGACCTCACGGATACCAAACCTGTCGCTGCCCCAGTCCCATTATATACAATGGTGTAGTAAAATGATGTCCCTTATATAGAATGGCAAAAGCAAGTTTGCGTGTGTGTATATATATATATATATATATATATATATATATATATATACACATATATATATATATATTTAAAACTATTTATTTTCAAGGTTTGAATGGTTACATCTGTGAATACAGAATAAGGAAGGCCGACTCTTATAATCAAAACTGGAAAACGCAGCAAAATATATAACAAAAATAAACTACAAAACATGCAACAGTGTTCAAGATAAAATCCCAGTTGAAACCCATTACTCTTTTTCTTTATTTTGTATCTCTCCGAAAGCAACAATAAGAACAGTAACAAAAAGTTGGGCTGTAACTTAAAGGGCAGGCAGGTCCCTGGCTGAACCATTCAATTTTGCTTGTCAACATAATGACCACGTGTCTGGAACATTTCTGTCCTAATTAAAAGCGCTTTTCCAAAGGAAAAGTTGGCCTGTTAAAAACTCAATGTGGCCTTCTGCTGGGTTTCCCTCTGAGCCTTTTTAGCTTTTACATATAGGTCACATTTCTTTTGCCAAAAATGAAGCAGAGAAATCCCAGGGTGTTGGTGAAAGTAGAAACAAAATTAAATTGAATAGCAAAACCACAATAACACGAATAATATGCTGTCATGTGCTTGAGAAGAGTACCGTTAATCTAAGCATTTTTTAAAACAAGTTTTGATTAAGATACACACTGCACCTTTTCCTGTTCATATTTTCCAAAGAAGATCTCAATAAAAAATATAAAGGATTTTGGATACAGTCTTTAAACAAATGGTGACTTTTAACTTCTTGGTTGTCATGTTTTACTACTGATTTTAATTTTAAACATTTCTCAATGAAAAACATTGGCTGTTAGCCCCAGCTTCTGCCAACCTAGCAGTTTGAAAACATGCAGATGTGAGAAGATCAATGGATACCGCTCCAGTGGGAAGGTAACGGCGCTCCATACAGTCATGCCAGTCACATGACCTTGGAGGTGTCTACGGACAACTCCGGCTTTTCAGCTTAGAAATGGACATGAGCACCAGTCCCAAGAGTCGGACATGACTAGATTTAATGTTAAGGGGAAACCTTTACCTTATGATATCTTTACACCTGATATAAATTTCCCAGTTGCTTTAAGTCACTTTTCCATTTCTATCAAATAGTGATGAAAGTAAAATTCAAGATGGTCACTAATGGAAAGAGATTACACTCAAGTCAGTACCAAACAATGTAACAAACTACTGGGGAGATATAACTTTCATGGGCTTATTGCTATTCTCAGCCCTGATTAGTCCACAAGAATAATCCATTGGTACTAACTGAACTCTTCCAGTAAACATTCTGCGTTGGTGTTGATGCCAAAGCTCATTACAATTAATAGGATTTTCTACATTCTTCTTTATGGGACTGTGTTTGCTGATGAGGTTTAAGGAAGGATTCCAATCATTTTTTAAAAATTCATTGTACTGGTTCTTTGTAAATTTTGGATAGGCACAAATTAAGAGTAAGGAATTACTTTTGTTATTTCTACATATTAATTTAGAAGACTGTGGGCTACTCCATCAAGCAAACGTTGGAAATACATGTGTACATAAAATAGAGGAAATTATAGCTTGCTACTACAGATCAAACTAGTTGAAAAGAGGGCATCTCAAATGAATGCACCAAATTTGGAAAGAAATACAACAAACACACAAATTATTGAGCAAAGACTTGCTGATTGAAGAAGATATATTACTAAGAACAAAGTTTTTAGTGCACTAGAACTAGCAGACTGGTTCAAGATTGGGAAAGGCGTACGGCAAGGCTGCATACTCTCACCCAACCTTTTTAACTTTTATGCAGAACACATCATGCGATGTGCGGGGCTGGATGAATGCAAAGCTGGGGTGAAAATTGCTGGAAGAAACATTAACAACCTCAGATATGCAGATGACACCACTCTGATGGCCGAAAGCGAGGAGGAGCTGAAGAGCCTTCTAATCAAGGTGAAAGAAGAAAGCGCAAAAGCTGGGTTGCAGCTAAACATCAAAAAAACCAAGATTATGGCAACAAGAATGATTGACAACTGGAAAATAGAGGGAGAAACCGTGGAGGCCGTGACAGACTTTGTATTTCTAGGTGCAAAGATTACTGCAGATGCAGACTGTAGCCAGGACATCAGAAGACGCTTACTTCTTGGGAGGAGAGCAATGTCCAGTCTCGATAAAATAGTGAAGAGTAGAGACATCAGACTGGCAACAAAGATCCGCCTAGTCAAAGCCATGGTATTCCCTGTAGTCACCTACGGATGTGAGAGCTGGACCTTAGGGAAGGCTGAGCGAAGGAAGATTATGCTTTTGAGCTGTGGTGTTGGAGGAAAGTTCTGAGAGTGCCTTGGACTGCGAGAAGATCCAACCAGTCCATCCTCCAGGAAATAAAGCCCGACTGCTCAATGGAGGGAAAGATACTAGAGACAAAGTTGAAGTACTTTGGCCACATCATGAGGAGACAGGAAAGCCTAGAGAAGACAATTATGCTGGGGAAAGTGGAAGGCAAAAGGAAGAGGGGCCGACCAAGGGCAAGATGGATGGATGGCATCCTTGAAGTGACTGGACTGACCTTGAGGGAGCTGGGGGTGGTAACGGCCGACAGGGAGCTCTGGCGTGGGCTGGTCCATGAGGTCACGAAGAGTCGGAGACGACTGAACGAATGAACAACAACAGAACTAGCAGAAATCCAATGGAAAGCACAAGCCAAT